ATCATTTTAACCTGCGGGTGACAACGGCGAATGTCTGAGCAGCTTTGAAGACCCCGCCTGCCGCATCAAGAGCTGCGAATGGATCGCTAGTAAATGCCTGGAGTTCATGACACGCCGTTCAAACGCAATGGTTTCGATGACTAAAAATTATTTTACCTCACCAAGGACCTGCGTTTGCTGGGAATGGACATGTTGCAACTTTGCCGCCCTTCCGAGATGCTCTTGTTTGCTGTGTCGTCACCTCTTCACCATTGGAGGTCCGCCTCGCGGCTGAGTTCCCAAAAGTTTTTAAGGAGGAGGAGCTAGGGCGCGTTAACAAGTTCAAGCTCACCTAATGTTGAAAAAGGACTCCACTCTCGTCAGTGTACTGAAGCGGAATGTACCGTTTGCTGTAGAACTCTCGTCACGCAGAGTAGGGCCGTCTGTCGCTACTGGAGTACTGTCACCGTTCGAGTACTCACAGTGTGCCGCTCCCATCGTTCCCGACAAGAAGAAGAATGGAACACTGCGCATCTGTGCTGACTTCTCCACGTGCATTGAAGCTGAACCGACACCCGCTGCCTACTGCCGCGGACATCTTCACCAAGCGATGGAGGAACCGTTTTCACGAATATCGACCTTCATGCTGCTTACTTGCAAGTGGAAATGGACGACGAGAGCAAGGAATTGCTGACCATCAACATATCCTGTGAACTCTTCCGCTACATCGGCCTACTGTATGGTGTGAAGAGTGCCCCTGGGATCTTCCAGTGCTGTTGAGCAACATTACCAGTGAAGCCGTTGCCTACCTGGATGATGGGGCACGAAGGAATCGCGAAGAGCACGATGCGAACGTCTTCAAGCTAATCCAGCGTCTTCAAGACTGTGGGATGCGTGTTCGCCGTGAGAAATGTTACTTTGCTGAGCCTAGCATAGTGTTTTACGGTTTCATCGTCGACGCGGAAGGAAGGCGCCCGACTCTGAGAGGATTGCCGCCATCGCCCATATGCCACCGCCCCGACATCTGAAGTAGTTCGAATCTTACCTTGAACTGGTTTCGTTTGACTCGTCTTTCGTGCCAAGGATGCGCTACTTCGCAGACATTGGACGCTTCAAAGAAGAAAAACAATCCATTTATCTAAAGTAGGGAGTGTCAAGGGCCTTCGCTCGTTTTTGCGATGCCTGACTTCGGATCTTCTGTTAAGACCCCAGGAAGCCGATCATCGTTGCCACCGACGCGGGCAACTATGGTATCGGGGCCGTGATCTCTCACCGCTACTTGGACGGATTGGAGAAGGTCGTTTGCCATACGAGATGCACATTGACGACACCAGAGAAGATACTCGCAGATGAGAAGTTTCATCGGTACATCTATGGACGAAGGTTTACTCTGCTGGACCACCGTCCTCTACTCACTATATTGGGGAGCAAAAGGAGTACCGGCCTACACTGCCAACCGATTACAACGAGGGTCGATGACGTAGTTGCTTACAATTTCGGGACCAAGTAGCTCTACGACATCGTTGGAAAAGCCGATGCTCTCTCCAGATCGCTTACCTGCCGGATTGCCGAAGACATCATCATTGCTATCGTTGAAGCTGATGTCATCGCCATTCACGAAGAAGCATTCAACCAGCTGCCAGTTATGGAAAACGTAGGTTATGCCATGGAAAAGGACCCCTGCTGATGGAGCCGCTCAAATGTCTCCAAACAGGACGTTGGCGAAATGACTTCCACGAACGCCGTTGTTCAATTACTGCGGCCAACAAGAAGAGCTTTCTGCTTACAACGGATGTAT